AGGTGTTACCATTACAACAAGCAGAGGTGTTACCACTACAACAAGTAGAGGTGTTACCACTACAACAAGCAGAGGTGTTACCACTACAACAAGCAGAGGTGTTACCACTACAACAAGCAGAAGTGTTACCATTACAACAAGCAGAGGTGTTACCACTACAACAAGTAGAGGTGTTACCACTACAACAAGCAGAGGTGTTACCACTACAACAAGCAGAGGTGTTACCATTACAACAAGCAGAGGTGTTACCACTACAACAAGTAGAGGTGTTACCACTACAACAAGCAGAGTGTTACCATACAACAAGTAGAGGTGTTACCACTACAACAAGCAGTAGGTGTTATAAAAAGCAGAGGTGTTACCACTACAACAAGCAGAGGTGTTACCACTACAACAAGCAGAGGTGTTACCATTACAACAAGCAGAGGTGTTACCACTACAACAAGCAGAGGTGTTACCACTACAACAAGCAGAGGTGTTACCATTACAACAAGCAGAGGTGTTACCATTACAACAAGTAGAGGTGGTACCCACTACAAGTGGAGGGGGTACCCACTACAAGTGCAGGTGGTACCCACTACAAGTGGAGGTGGTACCCACTACAAGTGGAGGTGGTACCCACTACAAGGGAGGTGGTACCCACTACGTCAATAATAATAATATTCTTGGGATGATAATGCTGCCCCACTTGGCACGAGGGTCAACGTGCCCTGGTTCCTCCTTGCCAAGAGAGTACCCATGACCAATACCCTGACCTGCTTCTGATGCCACTGCACTCATTCTTCCCAGATACTGTGGTGTGAAGTTTAAAGTCTATCGACTGCACGAGTGTCAATGAAGTTCTCATGTCGTGACGAATAGGTAAAATTGGTCAATTAGCAAGAACTCATTTAAAGCACTGGGGGAGTTGAAAGATAGCTCCAGGACTTTCGTGTTACAATCAACACGTCATCAGGAGCTAAATTTATATGAGCAATGAAGACTCTATATACATTCTCCATTTCTGCAATGTGGCCTGTTTTCAAAGTGGGGTTGCTATTATTATTATTATTATTATTATTATTATTATTATTATTATTATTATTATTATTAAGGGGGAGCGCTAAACCTGTAGGATTATGCAGCGCCAGTGGGGGAGATGTGGAAAGTATTCAGGCTTAATTCAGGGAACTGGAGCACAGATCCACTTCCCTAGATCAAGAGCCCCTCACCAACGTCAAGGAACCTTCCTTGAGGGGTGTGGGGTTGCTAGTATACACCAATATTCCAGTCTAAAGAGAAATGAAGAGTATTACCATCAAGGTTCTAAAAAAGAAGTAAATAAGAGTATTACCATCAAGGTCTTTCTAAAAAGTTCCACACAAATACATACCTTGATCTCTCCCACCTCCCCCAATATTTTATTATTTTTTTATCCCCCCTATGAACAATTTTAAGTGTATTTCTGAGACGCGCCTGCTAAACTATTATCTTTCTCATCCACTCAAATCTTCACCAAAATCCACTACAATGGGCAATTTAGCTTTTCCTAATACGCTGCTCTGTTCGGAGAAGCCACCAATATCTCAAGGCCCAGAAATTACTCTCAGGACATAAGAGTTTTGAGCCTTGAAAGAATTGCGTTGCAACTCCTCCACAAACACACAAGTTCCAATAATTTTCACCTGGGGGCAGTAACTTCTTTACCACTGACTGTGATTAAATGAAGTCATATACACTGTGTAATATAAATTATGCATATCTCAATACAAACTTTGTGGCTATGGCCACCAGTGTGTGGTGATAACAGGGGTGCGAGTGGATGATTAGTCACCAACTACTGGTGGTTCGTGGGCAGTCATCCATTGGTGGTTGGTGACCAGTCATCCACTGGTGGCTGGTGAGAAGATCATCCCTTCCTGGACATCGAGGATGGGGCACTGGATGAAAAATATGGATATTGACGCATATATTCCTGGGGGTGGGAGCGGAGGGGATGGCAGGGACCCAGGAGGATAACGGAAATGGAAGTGACGTTGACTAGACTCTGATTACTTAGGTTGGAAAAGTGGCTGTCTGAATTCAATCCCAAGGATGTAAGGAGATTGCTCAAAACTTATCTGGGTAAACATGTCACATAGCCAGGCTAAGGTGTTGACATAACGCACAGCCTATCTCCGGAACCATATAAACTAAATAATGTCAGCAGCATAATTCAAGCATGCAAATATAAGAATGACTTCAAGCAATGTAAATAAGGAACATTAAGAACATTATCAACGTTACATGGGAGTAATTTTCAAGTACGCGGCGCCACCTTAAAGCCTACATCTCTTCTGACAAACAAAATCTCTATGAACTAGAACACTTAAAACTAGAATTTGCTCAGCTCCTTTAACTATTATTACAAATTACACACAAAAAATCCTAGTTGACTGTAGTTTAAAAGGAGAAAGCCAAGAGCCAGCCAGGGCTCGAACCCGTGAAAACATGAGTGAGCAGACACACGGTCAACACTTACCATCCGTTGTAAGCGAAGAGTCCAGAGTAGAAGGAGAGAGCTATCTTGGTGATGTCATGCTCTGTGTTGTCAAAATTGAAGTACTGCGTCTGACCTGCGGGCAACCAAACAACCAAACTTAGCTCAACACATGGCACTGTACTACAAACTTTTAAGATCACCTCAGGTCACCTCTGACCACTATCAAGGTAGACAAGACAGGTCAGTGGTATAGACAACACATATAGCCGGGTCACAGAATGGAGAAGACCCGGGCCAGGAGCCGTTCTGGCGAACCTACCTGAACACTCACAGTATATGGTTCACTCACCCATCATAGATGTATCAACATACTACAAATAAAAAGCGTGTATCACAAAGAGCAATATCCCAAATAAAGAGCATGGATCATAAATAAAGAGCAAGTATCACAAATGAATAGCTAGTATCACAAATAAAGAGCGGAAAAGTAATGTGAAGGACCAGGGTGTGGTAATGTCTGAAGACCTCACCTTCAAGGATCACAATGCCACTATCACATCTGCTAGGAAACTGATAGGATGGATAATGAGAACATTCAAGACAAGAGATGCTAAGCCAATGATGATCCTTTTTAAATCGCTTGTTCTCTCTAGGCTGGAATACTGCTGTACATTAACATCACTCAAGGCAGGTGAAATTGCAGAACTAGATAATGTACAGAGAGCCTTTACTGTACGCATAATTTCCATCAAACACCTTAACTACTGGGAGTGCCTGGAAGCACTTGACTTGTACTCACTGGAGCGCAGGCGAGAGAGAGATATATCATAATCTACACCTGGAAGATTCTGGAGTGTCTGGTCCCTAATCTGCACACAGAAGTAACTCCCTACGAAAGCAAAAGACTTGGCAGGCGATGCAACATACCCCCAGTGAAAAGTAAGGGCGCCGCTGGCACACTAAGAGAAAATGCAATAAGTGTTCGGGGCCCAAGACTGTTCAACAGCCTCCCACCAGCCATACGGGGCATTACCAATAGACCCCTGGTTGTCTTCAAGGGGGAGCTGGACAGATACCTAAAGTCGGTGCCGGATCGGCCGGGCTTTGGTTCGTACGTTGGATTGCGTGCGGCCAGCAGTAACAGCCTCGTTGATCAGGCCCTGAACCACCGGGAGGCCTGGTAGTGGACCGGGCCGCGGGGGCGTTGATCCCCGGAATACCCTCCAGGCAGGTAGACTCCAGGTAGTATCACAAATAATGAGCTATAATAATATCTTTATTTAAAACAAGTACGTACATGTACAAGGTATACAGACCATAGCTGACATCAAGGACATACTACTATATAGAAAGCCACTTGTTATACAGAGAATTTCGGGCAAATTAGGTCATTGTCCCAGGATGCGACCCACACCAGTCGACTAACAGCCAGGTACCCATTTTACTGATGGGTGAACATAGACAACCGGTGTAAACAAACACGCTCAATGTTTCTACCCTCGCTGGAAATCGAACGCAGACCCTCGCCGTGTGAAGCGAGAGCTTCAGCCATCAGGCCACGGGGCTAGTATCACAAACAGCATGGATCACAAATAAGGAACATGAAGCACAAAGAGCAGATGACGCGTATGGAGAGTGGGTCAAGTTATGGTGACTAACATTATTATGTATCTCTTCTGACAAAGGAAGCAACAGGGGCGGTATGAACACTATTTACACAAATACCCACTCACTGGGAAGGCTTCAGTAAGCACCTAATCAACACTGACAGCTGCTAAGCGAAACGTAGTCACAATAATGCATGATGGAGTGTCAGTAATTTCATACAGAGATTAAAAGGTTTTTGGTCCGGTGCAGCATCCAGTCAGTGCAGAGGCCCACATGTCTAGACAGGAGTCCCCATGACAAACAGACACAGACAGGCACCCTCCCCAATCACATGAGAACATTCACAGTCCGATGTGTGAACTCATCCTTATCATCTGAGAGCATTCTTATCATTCATGGTCGTTAACCTCACACGAAGCTATCTTCACCCAGGCACCTAGCTAAAATCCCCACCCAGGCACATGGTTACCATCTCCACCCAGGCACCCAGCTACCATCTACACTAAGCACCTACCTAAGATATCAACACCTAAGCACCTAGGTCTAGGACTGGGCCTGGGAGAGGGGTGTTACCCCTGAACTCTACTCTAGGTTGACTCAATGTACACTACCATCTCCACTGAACGGATTTTGCTTCTTGACTGATTTGTCGGTGTTTACACTCTGTATTTTGTCGACTTAGTCTGTAAGTGGAAGGTATCTGCGTGCACGGAAGCACCCCTCCGCACCACACACACACACACACACACACACACACACACACACACAGAAGTAACCACTATTACCTCGCCCTTAGTACATATGTAGGGAATATTACTTGCTACTTTGCTTTTTAGATAGATCTACAACTACCCAAAAACCGATAAATCCCCAGCCCGATTAGTAATCCCTACCTAACAACAAAGCAGGAAGTACTGTTTATATTCTCTCTTCACATTAAACCATCACAATTATACATTCAAAGAAAAATTAAAGTCACAATACCGTGGCTGGAACAACTAAAAATAATCAAGGTTCGGGAAAGGGGAAAAACTCGATTTCGATTGGGTCCGTCTGAGACCGTTATCAAGTCGTTACTTTAAAATGGGTTGCAGGATGGACCGAAACGTCCAGTCTGAAGTATATTTGCTAAGTGTACATTGAACTTGAAGCATTGCTTAAGGTACATTTGTGGCAGCTAGGCAAGACACAAGGCCTTCCAAGCACACAAACCTCGCCAACTACATCCTGTATGTATACATCGTATACTTTTATAAGTCTCGCCAATAAACAAGTTATGTATAATGAGAGGTATACATACATCTTAAGAGAATATACACAAATGGGTGTAAACCTTTCATTGTATATTCTTTACGAGCTTACTTGAATCCCTATTTTTGTGATTAAAATATACCTGAATGGTGGTATACAAGTAACATTCAGCCTTCTAATGACCTCGTGTAATTAAAAGATTATAAAGACAACAGACTAACCAAGAAAATGACCTTCAGAAAGTGATGGCTCAGCATTCCTAGCGCCCAATATGTCCACCTGCTATATTGTCAGTGTGGCCCCTGCAACGCTGAGTACACAAACAGCTGTACGAGTAATAGTTATTCAGAGAGTGTACCACCAGAGGGAGTAACTTATATGGAAACTACGATCATCCTGACCTCTGGCGTCCTGGAGGTGACACCATGACCACCACCAGTACTGCTACCTCCCCATGACCACCACCAGTATTACTACCTTCCCATGACCACCACCAGTAATGCTACCTCTCCATGACCACCACCAGTACTGCTACCTCTCCATGGCTACCTCCAGTACTGCTACCTCTCCATGACCACCACCAGTACTGTTACCTCTCCATGACCACCTCCATCACTGCTACCTCTCCATGACCACCAGCAGCACTGCTACCTCTCCATGACTACCACCAGTATTGCTACCTCCCCATGACCATCTACAGCACTGATACCTCTCCATGACCACCACCAGTACTGCTACCAGCCCAGACTCTACTAGGGACCCTACCACAACCACAACTAAAACCGTAAATATACAACCATCATTGCACAAGACCGTGGCCCACAGTACAGATGTAGGAGAGGAGTCTCCTCCTTCCTCTACTGAGGAAAGTAGATGGGATCCAGGACGGGGTGACCTTGGCTTGGATACTGAGGATTATAGTGCAGTCCCAGAACCTGCAGAAATTGACAACACACCTCCCAACAATTCTCAACCAAAGGTGAATTTGTGCAAATATTATGCCTGGGGCATTTGTAAGCATGGAATATCAGGAAAAAAAAATGAGACATGCAACTTTGAGCATCCCAAAAAATATAGTGACCTCCTGTCTAAAGGAGTGTGTCGTTCTTCTTACTGTACTTTCTTTCACCCAAAAATGTGTCACTCCTCGGTCCTCTAGAAGCAGTGCTACAGCATCAACTGCCCTGCATACCATCTAAAAGGGACCAGGAGGCACAGACCCCACAAGACAAACAATAGTAGCTACGACAGCCCAACTCCAGGTGATTTTTTAGTGGCAGGAAACTGAAAAAGAAAATGGAAAGGGAAATACCAAAAATAGTCCACCACCTTGGAGCCTTGTTGGACTGGAGGCGCAGCCAGTGGCCCCCCATGGCCCCCCAGAACTAAAATTAAACTGATGCCAATAACAAAACCCCACCAACAAACACAGAATACAACCTCGTTCATATTTGCTAATACACAGGGCCTTAAGCCATCCACCAACAACAAAAATACCTTTTATCAGTGGACTTCTAGAGGAGTCTAATGCAATGTTTGCAGCCTTCACAGAGACTCACACAAAAAGATCACTTTGACAGTGAAAATTTTGGTAAGTGGTTACAACCGTTTTAGATGCGACAGAAAGAACAGGCAACAAGAGAGGGGGGGGGGGTTGGCCTGTATGTCAAAGAGTCCCTCATCTGCACGGAGTTGCTGAACACCACAAATGAGGGAGTTGAAAATTCTGTCAGTAAAGAAACGAGAACCAAAACCTAGTCATTTTTGGTTGCATACAAGCCCCCCCCAGACGCAGCCTCCCAACAGTTCAAGGAACAGCTACTGAAAATTGATTACTGTTTGGAAAACCTTCCAGCTCCATCCCCAAACATCTTACTGCTTGGTGATTTCAACCTAAGGCATACAAAATGAGCTACTAAGTCTCTGCGAAAAACACACCTTAAGCCAGCAGATAGTGGAGCCAACAAGACTAGAAAACACACTTGACCTTATCTTCACAAATAATGAGGACCTGATAAGAGACATAAGAATATCAAAAACAACTACGATCACAACCTAATCGAAGTCCAGACGTATATACATAGGGGTCCTGATCAGCAGAATGCATGTACCGGTGAAGGTGTCTTCACAAAATACAACTTCAACAACAAGAACATCAACTGGGACCAGGTGAACCATGTTCTAAATGAAACATGTTGGGAAGATATCTTAATGACATGGATCCAAACCAGTGCCTTGAAAAGATCAACTTCCTGGAAGCTTATGGATGTTCTA